AAGGAAGGAAGGAAGGAAGGAAGGAAGGAAGGAAGGAAGGAAGGAAGATCATACCTGCAAAGCAAAGGCTTTACCTCTAACATATTTATTTTTACAGTCTCTTAAAGGGGTGTTTTGTAATGGCACCTACCATGACATCCACTTTGAGAATAGTAGCCTTTCTGGGAGTGTAATCACAGCATGATATTAAAATTCCAATATGTGGCCTGTTCCCCCAAAAAATCCAATAACCCCATCTGTATTTTTGTCCTATTTCAAAGAGAAAAGTTCTATTTCTTTATATAGTTAACTAAAATTAAATAATTCCACTGAACATAACAGGACAACTTTCGAAAGATATACTTAGTATTTTAGAAGTAAACATTTACAGTTGGTTGGATTATTTCATATAATGTCATGAATATATTCCAATAGGTTTGGTTCTTGATGAAATCTTGCAAGAATCTAGTCACAAAAACCTGTTGGCAAAGCAATAGTTAAATCAATTAGTGTTATTGTTATACTTAGTATTCCTAACACCATAATATTAAACTGTGTTTTATAAGGTCGTTCTTTTTCTTCTTCTTAATCTTCTTAAACAAATTCCTAACAACCCTATGGGCACATCATCGAAATAGGCTGCAAACTTCCAAACTGTCTTTCTAATAAAATTATCTGGAGCAATTATTCATATATGTAATTAGCTCATTCTTTATTATATATGTTACCACTTCAAAACTCTTTGAAGAATATAATATAGTCAGATTATAACCAAGCTGTTAAAATAATAATCTGGCATGCCAATTGCTGAGATTGAACTGTTGAGAATGCAACAGGCCTTTCATTGTATCTTACAGGAAACACGTATCCATGAAAAACAGGAATAGCTTATTTTCAATTTGCACAGGAAACTTCATTAGTTCTCACCCTGCATAGAATTTTCACAGATAAGATTTTTTAATTAGCAGGGCAAAAGCAGAAGATCTCTGTTAGCATCACTTAAAATTACTCTCCTACGAATAACGTTGGCTTGTTCTTGGCTTGCTTTTTTATGGTTGAGAATTTAAGCCTTTAAAAGATTTAACATATGCCATGGTTGTTAAGAGGAGATTTAATTCATACTGAACTATTACAATTAAGAAACTAAGCTTTAAAATATTCAGCTTATACCATGGTTGTAAGAGGAGATTTAATTCACGAACTAAGGATAAGGAACACCCACATACACTTATAAAACATAATGCTATGACTTTTGAGGATTATTCATCCCAAGTGACCAAGAATGTATATCATTTTTTCCATATCAAAGAACCATGGAAATTGCTCCACTTTTGAAAGGTTTGTTTTTGTTTTTGTCTTAAGTTCTCAGCGTGAATCTAATCTGCCTCCACTTTTAGGCTCATGTCCAATTCTGTTAGGTAACGTCACACTGTAAGATCCAGCTACATTATTTCCATGGAGATGTAATATCTTCATCTTGAGGAAGGAAGCTGTCAGCCAAACTATGAAATTTTATATTGCAGAATTCTACAAACCAAACGAAATACAACTAAAAACATATCTTGGTTATTCCTTTGGGGAACAGTGAAAAATATTTAAAAGGAGTTACCATTTGCTACGCAGCATGTTGGGAGAAAGCTGAAGCAAGAAAAATTGGTCACCCTAGAAACCAAACTTAAACAAATCTTAGAATTCAGATAATTTACCAACATCTGTCAGTATTAATGTTACAGTCAAGACAAGATATGAGATACATAACAAACTGCAGATTTTTTTGCTATACTGAATCAAGCAAGCAAACAGAGAGTCAGGGGGAAAAGCTTTCATGTATAATAAACCTCTGCAGTTGAGAACATTCCACATCATTTTTGTAAAACCTAGCCTTCCTTGACACTGGCACTTTCCAGATGGGTGGACAATTCTTAGAATCCTCCATCTAGCATGTCTTTTATTAAGAATTCCAGGAATTGAAATATATACATCTGAAGTCAATATAATTTAAATAAAGTTTAATTAGATGGATGGATGGATGGATGGATGAACAGGCAGACAGACAGATAGTAAGTAGCATTACACAAATTCAGTCTCTCTTCTTTACAATTGACATGACTTTCTCATATGAAAACAAGACCATTGAGGTCCCAAAGATGCTTTTTCAAGAGGCAACTGGACTGTCTGGTTTTTCTTTCAAGACGTTTCACTTCTCATCCAAGAAGTTTCTTCAGCTCTTTGAGCCCATTGAAGCCATCATGGAGAGAGCCATAAGTAAAGTAGCAAGTGGCAAAGTCCTGTTCTGAATGTGTAGATAAAGAAATAAACAAAATCTGATATTATAACATGTAGAAAGCAAAATAAACAACAAGTAGAGGGAATCCTGACAGGGAGAACGAAGCACCAATTATCGATAGTACTTTTAAAACAAAAGTATAATTTCTTGAGCGTGTCTCTGAAAGTTACTGCTGAATTGTAATTTTGAATATGATAAGGCAAAACTGTGAAAGATAAGGATGTAAACATATTCAATATATTTAATGTACATTTCATTAAAATTAATCAAATTTATCTTAGTTTTTAATTAGCTTGTCCCCTTTTGAACTACCTTCTAAGACAATTTCCATATTGATGTCAGTGAAAGAATCCTCACTAAAACATTGGCTTCGCACCCTCTGTAAATACTATGAAAAGGTCAAACTCCCATGAGTCAAAGCAAATTCAGAGGGCCTACATGTAGTACCCTTGGCAACAAAACAAACAATTTTCCAGGATTTTTTTTTTAAACCTTCCTACTTAAGTCTTCAGCTCTAGGGTTTCTTAGCGCTTCAAAGCGCTCTTTGCCAATTCCATGTAGCTTTTTTCAACGTCTCTGAAGGTCATCTAGGTTCTAACAGCAATGTCATATTAGCAACAATACACACAATGACTGGGGTGGTTCCCATCTGCTTGTATTCATGAAATATAGGGAAAGGGTGGATGGGTTTGGCAAAGCTCCTAAGAAGGTTTGCCTGGATTTCCTCCTAGTTTTCTAGGAGAAAGAGATAAGAAAAGGCTGAGATTGGACTGTACAAAATATTAGTAAATGCACTTAGCCCACCATCAAATAATAGGCTAATAGGCTACATGTTGTCTCTCGACCATACCTTTTGCATCCCTCCAGTAGATAAATACCCAGTGATTCTTTGTCTCCAGCTGATGGATGAAGGAGTGGAAAAGACTTGCATTATGCCTGAAATACAGCCAAAGGAACATCAATTTCAATGACCTTTGCCTGTAGCTAAACATAATCCAAGAAATTTGATTCTACAAATTGCTTGAATTGGTCTTTATTTAAAATTTTGCTGGAATATCAAAATAGGACAAAGTTCAATAGTTATAGGCTTGTGCTTTATGTAGAAGAAGTAGAAGATGTGCGGTTTACACTTGGATCAAAGATTAGATGTTCAGCAGTGGGACATATTTCAAACTGTTCTTTCTAAAATAGGTTGGATGATGGGCACCATTTAACAACACAAAGACCTTTTAGGTTTGCTGACATTGTTTCTTACATTCTTGCTCTACTACATCGTTTCAGCAGACCACAAATGCAACCCATTGTTTAAAAAAAAATCCTGAGGAACTTCATCCAGAAACAATCTTCTTACATAGTTGGTAATTATTTTTTCTCAATAGAGGATGGACAGGAGGTCAAAGCCAGAGATGGACTATGCAAGCAAAGATCAAGAGAGCTGCTGCAGTAGTGATAAGAGCTCAGAGAGGTAAGGATGTGGTGCTAACTGAAGAAGTTTCATTTCAGTATGTTCACTCAATTATCATCCTCTTCATTTAACAACCCCATAATCTCTTGCGGAATGGAGTTTGGGCAACTGAATGGAGCTAGCAGAGTGTTTTAATGTCCAGATGCCCTTCCTGTCGCCAATGCGGAGTTTTGTTTAGCAGAAATATTCTCAGTGTGCCCAGAGAGAGGAATATCTGCCTCTACCTAGGATCAAACTCACAGCCTCCTGATTGTGAGAGGAGAGCTTCATCTCTAGGCCATAACACCACTCCCGTGTGTTCACTCAACGTATTTCATTAAAACAAAGACTCACTTGCACACTATGGAAATCTGGTTGTAGTGTTAACGTTTGTGATATTATTCACTGTTAAATGTGTTGTGTAAATCCATCTGGTTTTGTTATTTTATGATTCAGTGTATTGGACAACTCGGTAAATGGGGACTTGAGCAACCAGATTATGATATGAGAACATAACCACTGAATCTGGGATATCTTCCATAGGTTAATTTGGAGCCATTCTTTTGTATGAAATCATGTCTATTCAGGGATATCCAAAGGATATGTTTAAAGTTCAACTTTTTTTCCAAAAGGAATACCAATTTAATTATGGATAGGTGAGAAAAGTAGGAAATCAATTTCATACCAATTTGACTTGAGGTCAGCCAATCTGTATCAGCCAATCTACCCTACTGGACAGCTGTTGTGGGAAGCAGAGGTACTATTCAGCAGGTTCTGACCAGTTCTGAAGAACCGGTAGCAGAAATTTTGAGTAGTTCGGAGAACCGGCAAATACCACCTCTGACTGGAGATTTTACAGTATTCTTCCCCTGCCACGCTCACCAAGCCACACCAACAGAATCGGTAGTAAAAAAGTTTGAATCCCACCACTGGTGGGAAGGACTGCTGCCTTGAACTTCTGAAGGCAAGATAGAATATAAATATAACAAGCAAACAAGTTGATATCTTTTTTTTTTTAATAAAGTTTTATTTGGGTTTTCACACACACAAAATACAAGTAAAACATCTTTTTTTGAAAATAGCATGGTCCCGGGTTGAACTTCTTTATACAGACACAAAACTCAATTTCATGCTCCTTTTTGTATTCTATTCCATATCTTATACTATTTTACATTTTCTATATAGTTTTCCCCTCTTTTAATTTTCTCAATTTTATTTTGATTATCTCATCTCAATTCAAATCATTATATTTATACTTTTGTCTGTTCTGTTTCAATTTCATATTATCTTTTCTCATTAAACAAATTTTCTCCTGTAGTTACTAATTGGAGTATGACACCTTTATATCTTTTAATTACATCCATTCAACTCTTATTTAAACTTCAATATATACCTTAAGTTTATGACCTTCAATATAATACATAATACATAACTTCCAATCGAATTCTGCTTGGTACATTCTTATGATACACACTATATTCTTTAAAAAAAAAGAAAGAAAGATTGTAAATATATGTAATTATAAACCCTCATTTCATTCCAGTTCAGTTCTATCATTAATAATTATTAAAATCTTAACATCTTTAACACTTCTTTTCAATTAAATATCATGCTTCCTTAAAAACACATATAATCTCCATAATTAATTTTTCCCTTATTTCTCTTCACATATGTTTTATAAATCATTAAATATACCTTTTGCTACATTTATTTATTGACAAGCATTCCACTGAATTACGATAGCTATTTTATCAGACATTTTAATCATACATTGTTTCATATTTTCTAAAATTATTTCTGTTTCTAATATAACCATACTATCTTATGTACTTTTGCAGAATCCCTTTTTCCATTAAGTTTTCACCCATTATCTCTAAATAGGCCCTGTTTCTCTATATTTTGCTTCTGTCCTTTATATCTTCTTTTCCTTTCTTTCTTCCCTCTCATCTTCTCCCTCCCCTTTTTACCCCCTTGTCTCTCTACTTCTAATTCTCTCTTCTGCATTTCCCTCTTCTGTTGCTTTCTGATTTTATACTTATTTTTCACTCTATTTTTTTTTGGAGTTGTTTTTCCCAATCTTAAATTTTCCATTCTCTTTCCCCCACTTTCCTTCCCCCCCCCCATCTAAGATTACTTGTTCATTAAAGATGGCTTCTTCTTTGTCGCAATCTTCTTGTTCTGCAGGCATTTCTTGTTGTTTCTCATAATTCCAAATCTCCATTTCTAAAAACTGAAATATGAAGCCAAAAGAACCTCTCCCTTCTTGTGCATCTTCTTTGTACTTTTAATGTTCCATTTTCAGTTCTTCTAAAAGTGGAGCCATTTTAAACAGTTTTAAACAACCACCCAATTGATTTTAGTCATTCAAAACAATAACCAAGAATCCAGAAATCATCAAGTAATCCAGATAGTCCCGAGTTATATCTTCTTATTTCTTTTTCGACTTTCTCTTCCTGGGGTTTTTGTTGCAATATTTCAGTTAGAATGTATCTTTTGGAAGTCTTGTTGAGATTTTGCTGTAAGTTCTTTTTTAATTCCAGGCAGTCTCCTCCCTTCCAGATCCTGCCCTTTTATTCTTTTTCTCTCCTTTCCTGTTTTCAAAAGCTTTTAATTATCCAGAAATCTTTATTATCCCTTTGACTTTTTATTTTCAGCATTAAATGCCTATTGATGTCAAAGTGGATTTTTCCCCAATTTCTTGCTTAAGTCTCTTAGCTGTCAGTATAGGAAAAGGAGAAAACCAAATCTTTTCCCTTTTCTCTCTCCTTCGCAGCTTAAAAATCTTCTTAGGGAACAATGTTATTGTTTTTTAATAGTTTCAATTCCAGGGTACCTTATTTGTTGCTTTTGCTGTTTGACCCGGTCAACCAAAACTTTCTCTTCTTATCTTCCTCCTACACATTCTTTTCCAGTCGAGTTCTTCTTTGTGGTGGCCATTTCTGACCACCACTGCAACCGCCTTTGGGAAAGGGAGTAATGGCCAGCTGGGGAGGAGAGATGCAGCTCTCCTGAACCCTGCAGGCAGTCTCCCCCCTCTTCACCACCTCTACAGGGTGGCTTAGCCCCGAAACCAGCCGGCTCGGGGCGCTCCAGCGGCGAGCACGGATCGAAGCCTCGCAGAGATGAGGTTTTGGTCTGTCGCTGAAGAAGCTCAAACCGGAAGCCCCTTGATATCTTAATTTTTGATGTAGCAAGAATAGAGAATTTTCCAGGATGAATCTTAAATTTGAAAATGTTGCAGGGGAACAGAACACTACTAGAGCTTTGAAAATTAAGTTATTATGGTATAGGGCAAATGAATCAATGAAAACATGAGAAACAAGTTAAACCAAAGCCAATACTATAGTAAAAATGAGACACTGAAAGAAACTAGACTTATTTGACCACCCCCAACAATTGCAATATATTGCTTTTTGACAGGTTTATTGGGTCACCTTTTTTTACATTTTGCAAAAGAGCAGTGTGAGTGTGTATTAACAGCAAAACTTTAAAACAAATCTCTATATTCAAATCTTAGCAGAAGGGGAGACACTAAAAGGTGGGAGAAACTTTATCCTGATGATTGATGCCCTGTTTTAATGACTTGGATATTTTATTCCCCAGAGAAAAAGCAATGAAAATGGAGTGTTTGGTAAGTGCAGGCTTCATATTTTATATAAAAAATATCAAGCATTTTAGGGCACAGTTCTGTGTGCATCTTGCAGCTTTCTGTTAAATAAAACCATAGTTCCGACTAAGCCCTGTATACAGTATCCAGCATGGTTGTGCTAGGACAGCATGCAATTCACTGGCATCTTATTTATGGTCTCCGGAGTCCTATTCCCCAAAGGCATTTTTTTTTAACTTCGGAAAGGGTATTAAAAAGCAAATCAAAGAGGTCTGCATTTTAGAAGCTTGAGGCACTTATTTATTTAACCTCTTAAAATGGGTCCTGACCCATACAGTGAGCTTGTTTCTTGACATGTCATGCAAAGCCTGAAGTGGCTTTAAGGGCCAATGAAAGTTCTGGATTCTTGATTTACATTCAGGGTAGCACCTAAAGTTAGATTGAGGCATCCCAAGAAGTAAGGGCTTGGTTCCCTGGGAAAGGTAGAGCATGATGATTTAACTGTTGATCTGTGTTCCTATAAATAGGAAGGAGAGACAAAGCGGTCATCCAGGCCCTGAATTAACCATCAAGTAAAATAAGCATATGCTTAGGGTACCAAGGAAAGGTGGGACACCACTTTTCCCCCTGACCCTTAACAGATTTAACAGATAATCAGAGTTGGGAGGGACCTTGTAGGTTATCTAGTCCAACTCCCTGCCCAAGCAGGAGACCCTACACCATTTCTGACAAATGGCAGTCCAATCTCTTCTTGAAAGTCTCAAGTGATGGTGCTCCCTCAACTTCCGAGGGCAAGCTGTTCCATTGGTTGATTGTTCTCACTGTCAGAAAGTTTCTCCTTATTTCCAGGTTAAATCTCTCCTTGTTCCGTTTCCATCCATCCTTACCTCTTTATTTGCCAAAGTCAGCTTCAAAGTATTGTGTTTGAATTTTTTCCTTATAACAATTGTATTAAAATGCATTAAAAGTGTTTAAAATTTGCATGTTTATATTTTCCTAATAGTAGTGAATTCTCTTTCAGCATTTATTGAGTTTTAGTGTTTTGTCAGTTAAACAATGGAAGGACAGTTAAACAATTGTGGGACTGTGTTTAGGGTACCAATCCAGCCCAGATAAAAACAAGCTAAGAGTAAATTCATCTAGAAAGCATTGGTCACTTGCAGCTATGGTTGCAATAAGCTCTAAGCTGGTAGAGTTCTCTTAGCTTTAAGAGAAGGTGAACAAGGGCGGGGGGGGGCAAAGGTGATATTCAGCAGGTTCTGACCAGTTCTGGAGAACCGGTAGCGGAAAGTTTGAGTACTTCGGAGAACCGGCAAATGCCATCTCTGACTGGAGATTTTACAGTATCCTCCCCCTGCCACCCCCACCAAGCCACGCCCACAGAACCGGTAGTAAAAAAAATTGAATCCCACCACTGGGGAGGAGGGAAGAAAACGCCTCCAGAAATGGCTCACTCTGTGTTTTCTCTGTTATCTTTCAGTTGAAGAAGGTACTGGTAGAAAACCAACAGTTGAAAAATGCTGTAAGTGTTGCTCTTCTGTAAGCTAATGTAAGACATAATACTTATGTTGTTGTATTGAAACTAACTCTATAAAAGTGAACTGAAACAAACATACAATCTTACCCCCATCTTCTATGACCTCCATCCTCCTCTTCCTTTTATTGCTTTATTCTATCTATAATAAAATGAGACTGAGGGGTGGGGGGGGGATATAACAATGTATTATTTGCAAACATTATAAAAAAACACAGTAATCCAAGGAATAAATGAACTACTTGCTTCCTCAGTAAGGGTTCCTCCTTAAACTCTTGTTTCTTATACTGAAATTGGTTGAAAATGAAACGTTTCTTCTACGCTGATCATAGTGATCGCTTGGCTTTCTGCTCAAACTATACTATAACCACTGCTTCTTTACATTTGCCACTTAGGCCATGAAAATAAGAAGCAGTTGCTTTCGTTTCTGTGGGTGGGTCTTTGAGGACATGTGTTATACCCTTCAAATTGACCCCTACTGATACTTCAGTCCTATCTGATATGACTACCAGCGGGCAGAAAGAGAAAGGGAGGGAGGGAGATGTATCATTATTCCTTTGACTTGGATTAGAAGAGAAAGCTAGCAGAACTTTTGTCAGTTGAGGGGGGTGGAGCAGGAAGAAACACCCCCCCCCCAACTCTCCTAGGATCTTAGCTCCAGGGGTGGGATTCTACCAGTTTGCACGTATTCGCTAGAACCGGTTATTAACATTCTAAGCAGTTCGGAGAACCAGTTGTTAGAAGAAATTACTAGCCTAATCCTGTAAGGAAGGCAGGAAGGAAACATTCTGGTGTTGCTTACAGAAACTGCCTCTCTGTTAACCCTTATTACATTCTTGGCAGGACTAAACTTCCTGTCTCAGGAAATTCTCTGAAGTTTTTTTTCCCTCCTTTGCTGGTACTTTGCTTGTGTGGAGTGACCATTCAAAGTTACAATGGCACTGAAAAAAGTGACTTATGACCCCTTTTCACACTTACGACTATTGCAGCATCCCCACAGTCATGAGAGGCCAGGTGAGGAGATGCATGCCTCAGTATGAGTGATATTGAGTTGGCCACACCCAGCCAATAACATGACCACCAAGCCACGCCCACCCGGTACATGACCACTAAGCCACACCCACCAACTAAGCCATGTTCACAGAACCGGTTGTTAAAAAATTTGAATCCCACCCCTGCTTAGCTTGGAGGAGTGTTTAAAGACAATGACGAGAAATCTTATGAGTTCAATTACTTTGAATCCCTACAGGATTCAGTTTGTCAGTTTGGCAAGTCAAGATCCAAACTTAGTGGAGTGGCTGGGTAGGTTGTATATTACTAGTTGGTCTATTGTCAGAGATGCCCATGTCGAGTGTAACAGGAAAAGCCACCTGGATGAAACTTTTGTGTCTCTTTTCTAGGTTGTCTTCCTGAAGCAGCAGAATAAGGGTAAAGCTGTCCTCTATTTTGATTCCATAAAAAAAGACACCTTCAGGCATAACTTGATGTTTTCAAGTGTTTGTAAAACAGCCAACCACATAATCAGCTAAATGTTTTACAACCAATTTTAATGTATTTCACGGAAATGACCATTGACAACTCAGAAATTAGTTCCAAGCATTAGTGGGCCAAGTATTTAGACTTATCTTCTTGGATATTGGGCAAACCAGGTTGACCCCCTCATAATGTTATTATTTAGTAATTGTTAATTTCTTGTTGGGATTTTCAGTGTTGCAACTATTGCCAACAATATGCTTGTGAACTCCCCACACCCTCATTTTGGCCTCCCACAGATTTTTCCACACTCTATTTTTTATTATTATTTTAAAGTATCCTTTTGCTTGCAAAGAAAAATATTAGAAAAGAATCTGGCATGCTGCAAAACACCACCCTCTCCACAATCAATTTTATTTCCACATTTTCAAATGAGAACTAAGAACTATTACTTTTTAGAAAAAATAAAATAAAAGGTTGGTGCAATGCAGTGCTGCTGTAAAGAAACAGATGCCTTCACCAAAAATAAAAGAGAGGTAAGGCAGGATTTATAGTGAATATCAAAGAGATGCCCAATAGGGTGGCAAGGTGCAGTCTTGTAGCCTGCTTCAAATAAGTTGGTGTTTTGTATTTGGATTTACCCATTAGGACTTGGTTGAAAGATACTTCTTCCCCCTACTGCATCCCCAAAAACACTGGAAAAACCTGATTTAGGGAAATCGGATACCTTTTTTTTTTTCACATCCTTTGTTGAAAACCCAAAAGCAACGCAGTTTACACAAAGCCCTGAGTTTTGACTGATGGAGCCTTTTTCCTTTCCAGAAAAAGACAGCAATGTGGATGACTGCAAGAGGTCAGTGTCAGTAGTAAATCTACAATCAAAGAGGTGAATCTCTGAGAAACAGCAGACACCAAGTGTTCTTTTTCACTTCTCTTTTTTTGTAAGGTCCAAGGATAAACTTGTCTCTGAAATTGGGACTCTGTTGACTGAAATTTCATTTCTCAAAGAAGCACGAGAACAACTGGTGAGCTTTTTGAATCAAGATGCTCATTTGCCTTGAATTTATTCCTTGTCTTGTTCATTTATACCTCATATTAGGGATATACACCCTAGCAGAACGTGCAACGGCAGTCTAGCAGGCAGGAAGATATGTGTGAGATAAAAACGTTGTTGTAGCTTACACTCAGTAAGACAGATACACTGTGCAAGTTAAATAGTTTTTATTCCAGCAAGAGTTATAGCATAGTCAAAACAGTCCATATATCATACACTAAGTTCAGTCCATCCGGGGGTTAATCAGTTTGCAAAGTCCAGTGTAGAAAAAGAGTTCATTAAACTTACAATCAATCAGTCCAGTGATATATCTCTTTTGCAGTCAGAGATATGAAGAAAAATCAAACCCCTTTTTCTTCTCTCAGCAAACACGCAGTTATCACCATCAATTCATCATTTGTCAGCAATCCAGTAAAAGCCAGGGAAACAGTGAGCTCTCTTGCTCCCTCTTATGGTGATTTTACAACTGCACCCAAAAACTTGGTTTACAGTTTAAAGTGATACATACACTTAAACTCACTAACATAGTTTATATATTATTTTTTATCCAAACTAAGTTAGGTAAACAATGTTATCCCTAACACCTCATAACTTGGGAGAATTCAGGGATGACACACTTATACCCTCTAACCTCATCTGAATTGTTCTTGAAAGGATCTGATTTCAAGACAGATGCTCTATACTAGAGGTGGGCAACAATGGCCTCTTTATGACTTGTGGACTTCAACTCCCAGAATTCCTGAGCCAGCATGGCTGGTGTTGTGAATCAATAAAAAGTAACTAGGCCCAAATGCAAAGCAGGTTTGGAAAGCCTGCACACCTGATTGGTCCTTAAACAACAAACAGGGATTGGTCCATAACAAGCCCCTGATTGGCCAATATTAGGACACTTCTTATTGGGTATTAGTTGAACTTGTTTGCACATATTATTGGTTAATAGGGTAGCAGCCAACCCTATAAAAGGGTTACTGCTGCCCATAGCCTTGCTCTGTTCTGTTCTATCTACTGTTATTAAAGAGTTTGAAGTCACTGGTCAGATGTCTGGTCTCCATTATTCCCCAAACTTAACAGCTGGCTCAGGAATTCTGGGAGTTAAACTCCACAAATCATAAAAGGGCCATGGTACCGCACCCTTGCTCTAAACCAGGGGTGTCAAACTGGCGGTCCACGGGCCAGATGTGTCACAGAAAGACCACACTCACCCCAGCTCCGCGAAGATGAAAAATGTTGTGATACATCACATGATGTCACTGTGACGCCATGAGTTTGACACCTGTGCTATAAACCATTAATTGCATCTAGTTTTCTGCTTCATTAAGTGATGTGGCTCACATAAATGAAACTGTCTTTGTCTCCCATTTAACACAACTGCTCCAAATTCTCTTTGTTCCAAAGCACATTATAAAAACTCCCCAAAATGGAGCATAAATATTGAGAAGAAATGAAAAAGAAATAATAGTTTTGCAGTCTGGCATACACATCAGCCTCCTTCCCTCCCCTTTCGCAAATGCAGGAATCCTTTTTGTTTGTTTGCTTGGATTTTTCATCCCTGCTTCAGGAGCCACACACGAACATATCTCTCTTGCCCTTTCCTTTTTGAGAGTGACAGGTGATTCCTTCAAATAACCCAGCCTCGATCTCAGTGGATTGCATATTGGAGAAACAATGAGGATTGTGCTGAGGAATATGCTCTCAATGGAGGAGGCCTACATGCTCAACAGAAGGAAGGATTTAATAAGCTCAAAAAGACCCAGAGTGACATATACAAACACATGCAGATGCACATACTCTAGCCCAGGGAGAAAAAAAATTACAGAAAGTCCCACTTTCCTCATGCCCAGCTTTCCCATTTGTAGTTCTCATACCACATGTATTACTCTTTTTTGAATCCCAGGGTCCATTTTTCAACACTTCCCTATTGTATTCCCTATTGCTTGGTGGTATTTTCAGTTACTCCTAGGAGTGGGATTCTACGGGTTCTGATCTGTTCAGGTGAACCGGTATTTCCGATGATCATTTGGCCCCGCCCACCCACCCACCCACCCGCTCTTGCCCGTTTCCTGTGCTTTATTTCCTTGTTTTTAAGCACAGCTGATTCGTGAGGTAGACCGTTTTGCCACGCATCAGCTGTTTTACTCACTGGGGCTGCAGCAGAAGATAAGTATTATAGCTAAAAATGTTTTTTTTCTAAATGCTGTGCGCGCATGCAAAGTGCATACTCACCGAACTGATTGTTACACCGGTTGAATTGCACCACTGGTTACTCCCCCAAATCCCTGGTCTTGGTGCTCAGTTTAAGCACACTCTTTTCCTCATTCATGTCAAAGGAATGATACAAAACAAAGTATAATAGACCAAAAAACAACTCCAATGCATGCAGACAAAGTGTATCAGATTTGGAGAGGTGTAAAATGGACGATGAGGCTTTTGACCGGAAAATTCATAATTTAAAAAGAATTCACTCCCCAAATTCCTCTCTTCTCCAAAGCAATTATTGGATTACTCCCTAACCTAACAATGACCTTGTTTTTGGAAGGTTTGTTTTAATCCCCCGTAAATTTCATTCATCAGTTCAAATATTTATCCCAAACCTAGGTGAAATACTGGGTAGTCAAATGGTAAAATGTCAAGTGGATTCAGCATGGTTATGAGTACATAAATGTCTACCATAAAGCGAAATGTTTTTTGTCTGTGTTGAAAGTGTGTGACACAAGCTCCCCATATTAGCAGTGTTGACATATTGGTTAGAATGCACTCCTGCCCACTGCCAGGAGTTAGATCCTGACCAACTCAAAGTTAACTCAGACTTTCATCCTCCCAAGGTGGGTAAAATGAGGAGCCAGATTGTTCGGGGGCAATATGATAATTCTGTAAACTACTTAGAGAGTGTAGTAAAACACTATGATGTGGTATATAAGTCTAAATGCTATTGCTGTTTGCTTAATATAGGGATCCCCAATCTTGGCAACTTTAAGACTTGTGGACTTCAACTCCCAGAATTCCTCAGGCAGCATAGTTGAAGTCCACAAGTCTTAAAGTTGCCAACTTTGGAGACCTCTGGCTTAATAAATTTGTTTTAGACTTGAAAGGGAAGAAAGCGCCACCCTTAGTTGTGATAGGAGCTGTTTCTGCATGAATAAAAAGGATGAAAAAATTTGTGAACAAAATATATTCTCCTGAGTTGTTTGCTCTTGTGTTTCTTCTCAGAGATTTAAGGACCCTGAATCCAGGAAAGAAACTACTAAAGCTCTTACTGAAACCATCCAGGCCAAGCTGGAAGTAGCCCATGCTAAAATAGAGGCTGCTGAGGCTAAGAAAGAAACCTTAGAAGCTCAGAAGATCGCTGAAGAAGCTAAAGAATCGGCGGAAGCAGCTCACGCTCGGGAGGACAACCTATTGTCCTATGTCTCCAAAGTAGCTAGTTTGGCCTACCAGCAAGCTGCAGAGGCAGAATATGATTGTGTCCAAGCTCGGAAAGCCATGGCAGTAGCAGAGGCCATCCAAGTGGCTGCCTTCACTGATAGCAAGGTTCGCCGGAACAGCAAGGAGAAGTATCATCGAAGCAATCGGAGTCATGGGGAATGCCGGTGTCATCACCACCACCACCATCACCATCATAGCCAACATGAGCGCCGTAGTGATTTGGAGACCCAAAGTGATCTCATCCACTCTGAACCAGAGACTCTGAGTAGCACCCGATAAAGCAGGAAAGAAGGAAACAGGGCTGGGTGGGGTGGCTTGATAGTTATTGTCATTTGAGGAAGCGTGCAGAATTAAAAATTTTGTTTGAACCATGGACAACTGATTCATTTCACAGGTGTGTTTAGCCTAATGAAGACAAGGTTTAGGGGAGACATGATAGCAGTCTTCCAATACTTGAAGGGCGGGAGGTGTTGATTTATTATCCGAAGCACCTGAGGGCAGAACAAGAAACAATGGGTGGAGCTTATCAGAGGGAGATCCAGCCTGGAAATGAGGAATTTCCTCACATTGAAAACAATTAATCAGTGGAATGGCTTGCCTCCCAGAGTTGTGGTGCTCCATTGCTGGAGGTTTTGAAGAAAAAATTAACAACCATTTGTCCAGGATGCTATAAGGACTCCTGTCTGGCCAGGGATTGGACTAGAATTCCTACAAGGTCCCTTCCAGCCATGTGGTTTTATGATTTTTAGCCCGTAGTCTTTCACTACTTCCCACAGTTTGCATTAGCGCTTCTATTTTTCAGATTTTATAATGAACTTATAGAGATCAAGTAGCCATGCTCCCTCCCCATGCCTGTATGTAATGGTTTTATAAATATGTATGTCTATATTATTATTATTTATTTATTTAAAAGTATTGGCCACCCAACTGGGATGGGTTTCAGTAGCCCACACAGAATGACTCGATTCTTCACCAGCTCACGTTCAAGCTAAAAAATAATGTAAATATTTTTTAAATAATTCAGGATTGAAAGACACTTTTAAGAAAACTGTTCCAACCTGCTATAGTTTAAAACAAACATTGAGAGACGGTGAAACTCCACAATTCTGTGTTGTAATGCAAAACTTTTTTAAAAAAAATAAATAAATGCAAAACTCAGCCTTATGAGTATTTCCAAACTTTTAGCCTCCCTGTGGGACAAAGGTTGCAAAAATGTTTATAAAACCCAGGGCTCTATTTTGCTCTGCATTTCATAAAAGCATCAGTTGTTTATCTTAACCAAAGGCTACATCTTCCAGCCAAACAGCGCTCAGTCCCCTTCTCTAATCAGGACCAGTTATCTTAAAAAACAAGCTCAATTCTTAATTTGTGCTTCAGGGGATGGATGATGCAGTTTGTCTGTGCCAACACCTGCAACAATTGTTTCGTTTCAGGCTCCTGCCTCCGAATATGAAGAAGCAGAGAATGAAAAATTACATCTTGGAACCTTTTTTATTTAGTGAATATTCAGCAGGTGGGAATGTTTCAGGAGGAAAATATTTTGAAAGTGGAACTAGGCCTTAAAAACTCAATCACTAGCAAAGAACTACTAAGAAATGGTGGAGAAGGAACTGCACCAGAGTTATGGTGTCTCTCCTCCTCCTTTTCCTGTACAATTTACTTTCCTTGCACTGGACATCTTAGTGGTTTTATAGAAAGGTTAGGGGAAAATTATAGATAGAGACATATTAAATGGTATCTTCTCTGCTTGTCACTCAGCTTTAAAGTGTTTACTTAACCTGCTGCAAGAAAGAATCAACTTGAGAAAAACAGAAATAATTTGGAGAAAGATTAGAGCTGATGGTCAAATGGAACACAACTGATAGTTAAGGAAAACCCCAAACTTCCAGGTTATGGAAGTCTCCACTGGGAAAAATCTTGAAACCCAGAGCAGATAGTTAACAAAAGCAGGTGTTTGGTTTTTTAAGAGTCTAGTGTCAGAAAGTTTGAAGCATATTATGACTAGAAAGAACAAGGAGTTCTTAAACATTTGAAACATCCTGGAAACCAGAAACATTAGGAGACCCTTGAGGTAAAGCAGGATTATTGTCCATTATTTGCTGTAAGGGATTGCTGGAGTTAAAGTGAAAAGCCACAGAGAACTTCAATTATTTCTAGAAGTGCAACACACAAGTATCTCCAAATTGTATTCTAAAACAATTTTCTGCAGTTTGAAAAGAAATACTTTATTCGTTGACTTAACCAATTCATTTAATAAACTAGTTCTGTTCATAATTTTGTATCAAATAGTGATACTAGCCTGAGGCCTAAGTCACCGTGCTGCTGAGTTTCTAATACAAGTGTTTTTTAACCTTCGTGGCTTGAAGATTGACTTGAACTCCCAGAATTTTCCGCCAGCCATGCTAATCACATCTACACATCCAGGGGTGGGATTCAAATTTTTTAACAACTGGTTCTGTGGGCATGGTTTAAGTGGTGGGCGTGGCTTGGTGGTCATGTGACTGGGTGGTCATGGCTTGGTGGTCATGTTATTGGCTGGGTGTGGCCAACTCAATATCACTCACATCGAGGCATGCATCTTCTCGCCTGGCCTCTCAAGACTGTGGGGATGCTGCAATAGTTGTAAGTGTGAAAAAGGGTCATAAGTCACTTTTTTTCAGTGCCATTGTAACTTTGAATGGTCACTCCACACAAGCAAAGTACCAGCAAAGGAGGGGGAAAAAAACTCCAGAGACGTTCCAGAGACAGGAAGTCTAGTCCTGCCAAGAATGTAATAAGGGTTAACAGAGAGGCAGTTTCTGTAAGCAACACCAAAATGTTTCCTTCCTGCCTTCCTTACAGGATTAGGCCAGTAATTTCTTCTAACAACTGGTTCTCCAAACTGCTTAGAATGTTAATAACCGGTTCTAGCAAATAGGTACGAACTGGGAGAATCCCACCCTTGTACAAATCTCCAAGCCACCAAGCCACCACTGTTGGCGGCAGATACCGTTTTCATAGATCTTAAACAATACAATAGAGAGTTTAAAACATCTAAGCTTCAACATTTTAAGAAAGGAACAGTAGAACAACTCTGTATATGCTGGAACAGTAGAATAACTCTCTTAGCTACGCATGTCTAAGGTTGACTTTTGCAAATATTTTGCAAGGGTTGAACAGGCTTTTCTGTTTCAAAATTTCAAATTGTCTATTACCACTTTCTGCTTTATAATCTATTCTGAAAGATTTGGGAAGAAAGATTGCATGACAATGTGTCTGAGGAATCAGTTATGAATCCACTCTAGAATTAGTTGAATGCATGTATTTTTTTAAAGTGAGTGTTCAAGAGGATGAGAGTTTGTTATTAAATGTGATAGATTTATTCCTATTCTAGGCTCTATATAATTCTGCATCTATGGAAAATGACTTCTGGGGGCCCATTTCCACTGGTCACTGACACTATTTTGAGTTCGTGTATACTGCCACTGTATCACAAATATCACACTATTCACAATATATGTTCTATCAGCATGATCTACCTGACAAAAGAAGTGTACATTTCAGCATGTACATAAACACCAAGGGTTCCATTCCTGTCTTTTACAATTGCAGTACAGCTCTTACTGTTACGCTAAGTACTGCACTGTTTCAAAGGTAGGCCCCCTCCTATCCTATATAGATTTGTAAAAGGAAGAACTTTTTGTTGTTGTGCAACACAGAGAAATACAGAACATCTCAAATATTTTTATTATTCAGAATGCAACAATCATCAGCTTGCTAAGCAAACAGGTTATTACATCAGTAGCTGCTCAGCTTCTCCCTGCAGAGCATATCTTCAGCCGGGGAGCTGTCCTGCTGGTTTGATGGCTGCATCACACATAGCTTGCAATAATATGTTCAACAACCTTTGCTATTTAAATTCTATGGAACGAATGGAAGGCTTGGCTTTCTGTAACTTCATTGTATACATTAGGAAAGCTGGAGGATATAAGTTGGAAAAAGATGAAATGCCGCCTCCCCTGGTAGCATTAAAGGCTGGATAGAAAAAATACAGTAGTTTCTACTATAGCTCCTGAGACATACAAAGGCAGAAGTTTGGCCGTTCCTTTTTGATAGCATTGGCAATAAGAAAGCACAGTATCTGCTATTCTAGCAACCTCTGAAGTCTCATAGTTTCTTCTCAGTAAGTCCTTTGTTCGCTCTTTGGTGGTCAAATTTGTCTGATCACTGCCTCAAGCACTTTACTCCAGCATCTTCAGCATGTCCACAGTTTGTTTTTCCCCAGCTGGAAAAGCTACATTGGAGAAGACTGTCCTCTGTTCCCTTACAGGCCACATCATCCATCCAAATCCGTCCTTTCCCTGGGAGAAGAATTGAATAGACTCATTAGGTCACAACACAACAGTTAATGAGCTTCCATTTTTGCATCATATTGCAAGAGCTAGGAGAACATTCCCCCTTTGCAACACCTAGATCTGTGTTTCCCAACCTTGGCAACTTTAAGGCATGTGGACTTCAATTCCCCCAATTCTCCAGCCAGCCATCAACTTTCTATTCATTCTGTTGGGGAAATCAGACATTTTATCATCTATCTTTCTACAGTGTCCATCTACATACAGTGTTTATCTACAGAATTGATCTATCTATCTGACTGGGCATTCAAAGTTAGAGCAATCTAGGGTGTTTCATGATTGGGCAGCTACTTTTATATTTAACTTGGATAGTTTATTTTATTCTGGTTTTAATTTTAAAACCTTTTGTAAATTGCCTAGACTAGAGTTATACTGAGCGGTATAAAAATATTATTCTTTCTTTCATTTGTTCTTTCATATATTTTATTCCTTTTAGGAATAATCTGCCAAATTCACATTTTGTTTTTACTAAGATAGGGAAGGATTAGACTAAATTATCAGTCTTGATTATACCCATCTGAAATGCAGCATTCTTTGCTAATGATTCGGACAATATCAGTCAGTTTGGCATATTTTGGTCAATCTGCCATAAACATAATCAAACTAAATTTGGCCTCAATCATGTTTACACCATTCTATGCAAGCCATGTATCTAATTTAGAGATTTACAAGTGAACATACTGTTCTATCTATCCCACCAGCTTAGGGATACAAGTAATGTAATGACCTATACTCAGGTCTGTAAATAAAATCAGTTAGATCAACCAAATAAACCCAATGATATCATTTGGAAGCATTTTTAAGGCTGCCATCATGTAAACAACAACCTCCTAATCAACTGAGTAGATAGATAGTTATCACTTTGGAGGCAACTTAATGGGGACATGA